GTGAGGAAGGTGTGCATTTGAGAAGCAGAGAATAAGCCTCTCCTCGTCACATGCCCTTCAATGAACCAGCTTTGACTTTACTTGAGGTCAGGTTACCACCTGACGCATGGCCTGTGATCTTGGTGCTTCCCACCTGCGAGAACGTGACCCTTTGCTTCCTCCCCAGCCCAACATCTGCTTCTCTAAGATTTTCTGTGTAGCAGAAGGAGAGTGAGCAATGCTTCAATCAGCAAAATCGGACACTTCAGCTGGAGAATGACAAGACATGAGAGAGATATAAAGCACTACCACACACTTAGAAGACATTTCTATTTGACAGCTTCATGTCTCCTTCCAAAGTGGCACAGATGTTGCTCCTGTTCCTTGGGGATCTCCATGAACTGAAATATCATCTGTACAACTGGGATAATGCAGCTGACCTATTTGTAAGAGAATTTGAAATCACACAGATTCAGAGACTCACAGAAAGATTTACACTGGGAGGGACCTCTGGAGGTTTCTAGTCCAAGCCTCTGCTTACAGCACACAAACTCCAAAGCCAGATCAGGCTGCTCAAGATCTTGCCCAGGCAACTCCTAAACATCTCCAAGGGTGGAAATTCTTCAGCTTCTCTGAGCACCTGTTTCAGTGCTCTACCAATTCATATTTCCACATAACAAATATGACTGAAGGTCCTAAGGGGTTTATCTATTTGCATATATTCCTCAAGAGACACTTGAATCATGTGCAATAGCTCCCTTCGAAATCCCTAGTGGTTTTTTCACAGAACACACATCTAGGCTTTTTTAAAATCGTCCTCTTCTTAAGGTGGTTTACCTGCTGTCTCTTAAAAAAATTGATCCTATCTGAACATCTGAAAGTATTCTTCCATTCATCACTGTATTGGAAGCTGACAAATTTAATGTAATTATTAACCCCATGGTTATCAACACGCTCTAGGCAAATTAAGCAATGCACACTCTTTGCAGTGAGGAACGGCTGTGTTCTGACCCCCATAATAGACAAGACAGTGAAACATCAGGCTGAAGGACTTGCCAAACTTCATATATAAGGTAAGCTGTCACATATAGAATCCAGTCCTAAATAGCAGACTGCTCCTTTTTTCTCTAACTGTGTCTATTTCAGCCAGAAATGTCAAGTACTAGCACATTTTAGACAAATGCATCTTCACATCACCTTCGCTAATGTTTCATTGCCTTTACATGGTCATGAGGGATGGGTTTATATCAAATACAGCTTAATCCAAACTATGAACTCAAACCCGTGCCGAGTATGATGTTCAAATTAGTCTTCCATCTGCCCAGATGGAACAGCATGACAGTATAATAGTATGAATGGTAAAAGCCCTCATATGGTATCCTAGTTCACTGCTTCTATCTGGCTGGAAAATGGGGCACTCAGGATATGGAAGAAAAGGAGTTAGTCTCTGGACACAAAAATGAAGGTTCTGTCCTGGAGAACAAGTTAGTCTCAACTCACTTAAAGAATGCTTCATACATGTGCTTTGCTCCTCCAGGACTCTGGCACTGTTTAAAATGGTAGGATATTGTGGGACAGAGAAAGGATCCAGAAATCAGAGAATGATCTTAAAGCAAAATTAGGTTAGGCAAGAAATATCCACTCCATTAGAAGACATGTAAAACTAAAAATATAACACAGTAGGACTTTAGATAGTTCCTTCTTCTGATGTTCCCTAACACAAGGAACACAGGGTTTCTGAGCACCAGAAAAACTGGAGAGAATTTTAAAAGATATCAATTACCACCTAAAGGATTGAGCCAGAAAAGGTACTATCATGCCTAGCTTGGCTAAATGCTGAGTGAGAACATGATAATGGTGCAAAAACAGCTGAAGGTATAAATATCGCTAAAGGGGGGGGGGGGGAACCCCAAAACCATCATAGAATCATAGAATAGTTTGGGTTGGAAGGGACCTCTAAAGGTCATCTAGTCCAACCCCCCTGCCGTGGGCAGGGACATCTTCAAC